CCTTTGTTTGGAGTTATTATTTTATCAGCAACTTGACGCTGTCTCTTTACTGACTGACCTGGTGGCATTGGCTTCGTGTATTAAAAGGTTACTTGCGATAAATGCGACATGAACAAGAAAACTGAAATGTTGGAGGTTATAGTTCATGGTGGCTATCTTATATTCATTCGTTGCTATTTTTTAAAATCGATGTCGTCGTGACAAAAAAATAATATTATAATAATCGCGTTCAATGGGAAGGGAACGACATCGCAAATTTGCATGGTACTTCTATTACTTCTTCTAACACATAGAAGGTACCGATGTAAATGCCCGGAAAAGAAAAGAATGAGCCAAAATTCTTTAAAAAATCAGTTGATTATTATCAGGCACAAACGGAATATAAAAAACGATAAAGCGATTTTTGCGAATAGCTTTTGGGACCAGGCAAAATGGAAACTAAAGAAAAACAGTAATAGTACAATCATTCGAACATCTATTTTTCCCTAACACAGTCTCAACTGTTTTATATCAGCATGAAAAAAATTCATTTAGTAATTTACCATTTACATGTTTTAAACGTCATTTGCTCCATAATTTGAACAAGAATCAAGTGAATGGTCAACAAGAGAGATCTACGTACATATATTGGAATGCTGTATGTTACCATCAACCGAAAATTACAAAAACATCTGAAAATCACGTCAGACCAAAGCATCAAGAAAAGTTAGCACCGCATTGGGCTCTGAGGAAAATCTGTCATGAACTTCTCAATTTCTCTAGAAGAATTCCAAAGAATTATCCAAAAGCAAAACGTCGGCAGCATCACAGTTGCACTAAAAATGAACCTGCACAGAACTCAGATTGTACCGAACAAATATGTGATCGCACAGCCTCGCGAATTAAACCGGCTTAGGCTTAACCAGGTTAGCCCATCTCAATAGCGCAGACTGCATAACGTAAAATAAACAGAAGCAAAAACTAAAAGTGACATCCAGAATTTGGGAAGACTGAAAATATATTTATTCGAGAAAGTGCCCTTGTATTTGAAAAGAAAAATGTTCAATTAATCCGTGCTTTCAGTTGGAGGAAAACGTGGAACCTAATCCTGAAAGCAATTCATAAACTGCAAACTACACAACATGGCACGGAAAGATGTCTTTTGGGAATAGCAAGAAAAGATAGGAAGCGAAAGGACTGAATAAGAGCACGAACAAGAGCCTACGATGTCATGGTTCGAATGAAGAACTTGAAGTAGTAATGAGCACGACGCACTGCAAGAAGAACCGGCCGTCGCTGGACTGAAGAGTCATTAGAATGGGAGTCAAAAGAAAATAAACGCTTGTTGGAACATTTTCAGGTCCTTGGGATGGTGAGCTGAAAAATTTCTACCGATAAAAATAGATGAAAATGACAGTCTTGGAGACGTCCTCGTCCAACGGCTTGCGATGATATATTTTTTATTATTTACGTTTACACCATATACTGATTTTTGTTCAGCCATCAGATGAGTCAATTCGAAATGCAGGCGTAAAATGTATGCATGACATTATGACCATATGTTTCGCACGCATTGACGCGATCACCCCCAGAGCACCATGCTGTTCCCATTATTCGCAGGTCAACGAATAATTATCCATTTTACAGGTGGTTGAGGCGGAGAACCCTGGGGCAAATTCCTTTTTAAAGGGAATATTCAGTTAATAAGAGAAAATTTATGACGCGCGTTGAGTTTGAAATTGCACTCTAACATGCAAAGTCATCTATCAACCAATTTTGCCATTGTCCCCTATATCAAATGGAAGATTTGTAACTGTGTGAATGCTGGTCGTCTTTACACTTTAATGATAGAGCAACTTTTGGCGTCTACTTTACATAAAGTTAATGGTGGGGCGTTGATCCCCTTCACCATGATATCAATCAGGAGTGCTTTTTTAAAGGTAGAATCGACAACAGCCATGTGATAGGTGCAGCGCGTAGTCTCCTATTTCCTTTTTAGCGAGTGATGTTTAGTAATCTACTTCAAAAAGTAGAAAATCAAGTGACCCGACCCGACCAGGGCTCAAACACGGGACCTATCAGTTCTGAGTCTCAAGCACTATTGAATGACAAACCGAATCAACGGTTCGGGGAAATCAAATAACAGTAACGATGAGTTTAACCATATTTTTAAAACGGTCCGTGTAGAATTGTTCCAGCGCAACAATGATGGCTGAATCCGCCAGGACATCTTATTTTTGTCATTCAAAATTACTGTCAAAATAAAATAAAACATTACTTGTTAAAACGCTTAAAAAATACGTTAGCACGGGTCAGCTTGTTAATGTCATCATAATCGATCAACAGAGACAGTGTCAAACTGCTGATCAATTCATCATCGCACATTTCTGTGAACATTAACAGAGTTTATTTGACTTCCTGGGGCATGGGATTTAATTTGCCGCACAACTACCATTACATTAGCCACTGCTTCAGTAGCCTGCATTGGATCAGATCATGGTTTGTCTGATGACTACCATTTTTACCAAAATGCTGAAATAAAATAATGACGTGAACATCGATTGGCCATTTGTTAGAAGAACCATCTCTCGAATTATTAGAACGCATCTTAAAGAAGAGCCACCTTTTTCACTGATCAGTTTTCGTCACCATAATAAAGAATTTGCCATTTTATCTAATTACAAAACTAAATGATTAATTAAATTACACAACTTAATCCATTACATATGTTTTAATGAAAAATGAACGTTTAACTGTATTTTGAAAAGTTTGCCAACCTGTTTACGGGACAGAAAGAAAAACGTCTTTCCAGCGAAAACGCATCTGCGGTTGGAATTCGGTTCCAGACTGAAGGAACCGTGAG